CCTCTCTCTCTCTCTCTCTCTCTCTTTCTTTCCCCTTGTCTCTCCGTCTTTTCTTCCCCTCTCTTCTCTTTTCTCCTTCTCCTCTCTTCCCTCTCTCTCTCTCTTTCTTCCCTCTCTCTCTCTCTTTCTTTTCTCTTCTCCCTCCTCTCTGTCTCTCCCCTCTCTCTCTTTCTCTCTCTCTCCTCCTCTTCTCTTTCCCCTCTCTCTCTTCTCTTTCCTCTCTCTCTCTCTCTCTCTCTCCCTCTCTCTCTCTCTGTCTCTCTCTCTCTCTCTCTTCTTTCCCTCTCTCTCTCTTCTTTCCCTCTCTTTCTCTCTTTCTTTCCCTCCCTCTCTCTCTCTTCCCTCTCTCTCTTTCTTTCCCCCTCTCTCTCTCTCTTTCTTTCCTTCTCTCTCTCTCTCTTTCTTTCCCCCTCTCTCTCCCTCTTTCTTTCCTTCTCTCTCTCTCTTTCTTTCCTTCTCTCTCTCTCTCTCTTTCTTCCCTCCCTCTCTCTCTCTCTCTCTCTTTTTCCCCCCCTCTCCTCTCTCTCTCCTCTCTCTCTCTCTCTCTTCTCTCTCTCTCTCTCTCTCCTCTCTCTCTCTCTCTCTCTCTCTCTCTCTCTCTCTCTCTCTCTCTCTCTCTCTCTCTCATGTTAATTATAAGTAATCTAAATGTATTTGCTTCTGTTTGACATTATATTTTTTCTATATTACTTGAGACACTGAAGCTCTTCAATCATTATTGGAGCTATACCTCTCAATATCACATGTTCATCCCTTGGCCACCAGTGAGCCAAGTAGGCAAGGCAACCATGGCACTTGGCAGGCGAGTGGCACCACATATCCAGAAGCATGGAACACGAGCCATCTCTCACTTTACAGGGCAAAAGGAACAGGAAGCCAGTTCAAATGTAAGATTGGGGAAAAAGCATGAATTGATGGAGTTTTCTTGAGTTTTGTGTGTGCTTACATATTGTAGAGTATTTAGTTTTCTTTTTCAGTTTTTTTCTCTCTCTCTCACTCTCTTTTTTATGGTTTATTATTTAGAAGTATGTATTAGTTAAGTGATTTATCTTTGTTTTATAGAATAGTTTGAGTGAAAACTGTTTTGCTTGAGAAAGACATTGTCAGTTTTTATTATTGTGTAGGAGCTTGTGTAGAGTTTGCAGACAAGTGATCTTATTGCTGTGTATTTAGGTTCCAAGGCATAGCTAAGACATCCCATTCTATATGTATTCACTATAGCTGAGCACTTGAGTTATATATAGTAAAAGTAGCGACAATAAAAACCCAATCAGTGATATAGAAAAAGTACATATGTTGTTCCTTTCATATGCATCCTCTTGTTTTGTGTGTATACAAAGATAATATTTTTTATAGATTGGACCATTTTCATATTTTTTCCCATTATGAGAGGTATTAGGAATGTTCTCATCTACCTCCCAAACAGTATAACATCACCTCATTTCTCACCTGTAATCATAAGATGTGCGCTTCGTTATCTCCCATCCTTGTTCGCCAAAGTAGGGATCACAAAGTCTTGGATAAACCCAAATTATTTCATTGAATTTTGGAAGTACATATCTTAAGGTTAGGATGTTTCACATCATAATCCAATCACTCTTTTGACCCATAAATTCTTATATTTTAAAATGTATGCAGGTGATATTGCCCTTTGTCATATTACCTTTACAAAAATGCAGCAACAATAAGGATAGATAGGGTAAGATACTCTGACGATAAATGCTTCAAAGTAAGAATGAGGAGATTCCCCTGAAGCCTCTCTGAACTAGGTCAAAGGTTAAGGACATAGTTGATGTATTTCAGTGATGTTGATTGTAGCCTTTATTTCATGCCGATGCATAATAAAATGCAAAATATTCATCACTCAAAATAAGGGCTCTAGAAGTACTAAAAGCAGTTTACTTTCTTACAAGCAGTAGGATGATGGAGTGTATTTTTTAACTTTTTATTTCCTTTGCTGATATATTTAAAAATAAATCCAAGACTTTAATTTTAGCATGATTCAGTTTGTAAAAGTGTAAAAAGTGTGTTGCTTTACTACCAAATCGTTAGCTTTGGAAGTGCTATAGTACTCCCCTAGACTAATGCTGGCTTTATGCATGTATCGCCAGGTGGAGGGTGTGTTGGAGGTAGCTGCAGGGGCCGTGAAGGGTGCCTCCACAGTCTACATGAGTTTAGAGAGTGCTGCTGCCACTCTTGCTACCAGTATCACTCAGAACACTGTCAAAGTGGTCACTCACAAGTATGATTTTCCCTTCATGTTGTACAGCAGACAGGCCAAATATTCTTCTTTCAATTCTTCAGTCTCTTTCTTTCTTTCTTACTTTTTAAAAGATATATTTTACTACTTTTTCCCCTTTCCTTTTCTTTTTCCTTTTCCCTGTTTTCTATTCTCTTTTCTCTCAGTCATTTTTGGCACTTCTTTTTGTCTCTTTATTGATCTTTTGTGGTTTCCTATCCCATCCATTTTACTTGTGAAACAAAATCTTTTTATGTAAATAAATTTTTCACATAGGTACATATTCTGTATTTAGCCTTCTTGGCTCGTTCTTCCTGTTTTCGAAAGGTTTGTTTCCTTAATTGTGTTGCATCTTTTCTTTATCCTCCTAGTTACTTCCCCTTTTTTGCAACATATTTCTCACTCTTGAATCCATTTTCTTAGTTATTTCAGTGCATTGTTATTATTCCACTATAGTTCTTATTGCTGCTTTATTCTTGGTACGCACAAATATATCCATCGTATAGTTATAGGTCGTATTCTTTTTCTCTCATCTCCTTTTGTGAATGTTTATATATTCACCTGATTCAAGACCACATTATTCCACTATTATTTGTGGTGGTAATCTTGTTTTGCAGGAAAAATGTTAATTATTTCTCATATTTATATTTTGTTATTTTTCATGTTAATTTCATTAAACTTTGCTGTTGTTGTTTTCTTTCTTCTGAAAGTATTCTTGTTTTGTTTTTTATATATGGGAAAGAAGCATTATTTTTAAAAGTTTTAAAGTATACTTTTACCATTATTTTGTAAGCACAGTGTTTACAGCATTATTATTGTCCAGGTGAAAGATGCGAGAAGCTAATGTTTCATTATTTTTACAGATATGGTGAGGAAGCAGGCAGCCTCACAGACAACACACTTTATGCTGTGGGGCAGACTGCTTTGGTTGGGCATAACATTGCTTCACTGGGAGTTAAGGGCATTGCCAAGCGAACAGCCAAAGATACAGGGAAGGCTCTCGTTCACCAGCACGAGGAGAGGAAGCAATCTAAAGTAGGTGGAGGAGTGGAAGAAGCCGAAGAAGCCATGGAAGTCACAGAGGAAGATGGAAACAATCCTCCTACAAAGCCAATTCGAGAAAAGAAGAAGAAACCTCTTTAAGGAGTTCTCTCCTTTCTCCTTCGGTTTTTCTTTCTCTTGTTCTTTTCTTCTTGATTATTATTTCTTTTCAGTTTTAAAGGAAATCAATGGATAATTCAGCTTGTAAAGGATATTTACATAGATATACAGGTAATAAAATGCTATCTTGCTGTTGATATTAACAGTGATACTATTATACTAATGGGCCTTATCATCATAATTTCCAGTGAATTATAATGTTTTTTCTTATGCATAGTGATTATATTTTATATATGTTGCTGGATTATCTAAACTTCCCATTCAAGCCATCTATACATGCTATTCTAACAGGATCTTATTGGTGAATCTTATTCACTGGGCATTTCATTGACCATAAATGGCAGATGGTTAGAAAAGTTTGTTGATCGTATTAAAGATTGGTTATTCTGTTGGGCCTCTATGTTTATGGTGGTCAGCTAACAGAAATTACTCATAGCAAGGTTACAACCAGTGAAGATATAGATATTGTTATTTGTAAAGGCTAGAATGGTTGAGAGAAGTATAATTGAGGCTGAGTGTTTACATTGCATTAGTTGTGCAAGTATTATTCCCTAGAACTCATAGACTGGACAGTACAGGGAAGTGCCATAACTCAGATTATTTGGGTCAAGCAAGATGTTATTGTAAATAGAAATGTCTTCTTTTTTTAAGAAATCAAAAAATTATAAATGCTACATGTAAATAGTTATTTTCCTTACATAAGGACATCAAAGGATTAACTTCAAATTAAGGTTGCAGAATATTGCTGAGGCTAAGTGGTTAATGATTAGCAATTCCCCAAAAGATGATCATGTATTTGAACACAGAGTCAGTTCTAATATGCTAAAATAAAGCTTGCTTATCATGGCCCAACTCCTCATGTTTCTCCCAGGGGGGTATCATCATGTCACAAATCTGTTAGCCGGGCCATGACAAAAGTTTTCTCTCTTCACATCACAGGGTAACCAATTCCTGCTGGTGCCTTATTTGTTAATAAGTGAACATTTTCAGCATATTTTTGAGTACTTGGATTTCTTTTATTAGGGATTTATCATCAGTAAAGATTTGTATACACTGTTGATTTTAAGATTTTTTGTGTTTTGCCTTTTGTATTAGTTATTACTGTCTGAATACAATTTATGTATGATAAGCATTGCGAAAATGTACTTGCCATGGATATATATTTTAAAAATTTCCATGTAAAGTCCAGACCATGCAGCAGCTGCAAAAATCAGGATTCCACAGATTCTAACATAATGAAAGTCTCTGTTCAAGGTCCCAATGTTGAAGTCACAAATCTTGTATCAAAATACCTCGTAGACAGTTTCTTGCCAGTATGAAAGGGGTGGTGCTTGTGTGTACATATGTTTTATAGATGAATGAACAGTGAGTAGAATGTAGCTTTGAATTCGCTGCTTCAAAGGATCTGGCCAAATTTTATACTCTAATTTAGTGTACTTGTGTTGTATTGCACTAGTTATATAGCATTCCATTCTGTTATCTTTTTCATTCTCTTTACTTCATCTTTCTTGAAGTATATAGTGTTCTGAAAGTTTAAACAGATCATGTAAAATATTTTTTTCTGAATTATGCACACTAGGTATTCTTTCTTCCACTATGTTTATTTACATATTGCTAATGATACTATTTTTGCAGTTATTGATTATTGATTATTTTTATTATTTTTAAGGCAACTCAGGTATAGAAACAGCACTTGGGGCTTTTGTTTGTTTGTTTGGTGATGAGCGGTATTGTTGTTTTTCTATTTCTTTTAATACTGGGAATTCAGAATAAATTGAAATAGTCCTTGAAAAGTTACATGTTATTGGATGAGGAAACAATATTGATCCCTCTTTATCTTTTCCTCCTCTTCCTTCTTCCTCCCCATCTCTTCCTCTTCCTCCTTCTTCCTCCCCATCTCTTCCTCTCCTCCTCTTTCTTCTTCCCCATCTCCGGCTCATCCTCATCTTTCCCCATCTAAATATTAATTTTCGTCTTCATCTTCGTCTGTACCTTCATCATCCTCATCCTCTGCTTTTGGCTCATTAAGTGTACATTTTACGCAGCTTGAGGAAAACTACAAGCAAACTATTTTGAAGAAAACATCAACTTGATCAGAGAATGATTTTCCTGCTTCTGACTCGGCCCTGGATAAATAAGTGAATGCCAAGCTTTATCTTCTTTTCTTTTTAATGTAAAATATATAGTTTTTGACATTGCCTTGAAAATGCTTTTGTAATTTAGTGATACTCTTGAATTTTAGAGGATGATTTGCATTTTGTGACCTGAAAGCATAATTATACTTGCTATGAGTTCTTTTGTTGTCTTTTTTCTTTTGTGATTCTAATATTTCACTTCAATGTTTTCTTCCTTTCTTTTCATTTCTCTCATTGTAAAACCTTTAATGTGTGTGGTTTACTCTAAAATATTACTTTGATTTCTGTTACTCAGTTTTATGTATTCCAGTATCAGACAAAGTTGAACCTCTCCAAGATTATTTATTTTTGTATTTTATTTTGTTTTTGTTTGTGTTTGGTCTTATTATAATTGATAAATATGTTTGTGTCTGTTTTTATTGTGTTTGATGAGTGAAGTAAATCAACATGTATGTTAATGTATTAAATTATTGCTTATTTTCTAAAAACTGTCCTGTTAGTATTGTTTAAAATACTGTTTTATAATTAATATTATTAGCAGTATCAGTAACATACCAAGTATCAATATTATTTTCATCCTTGTAATAATGCTTTAATTTTTTTATTATTATTCCTTCTTTCCTTATATGTAATTAACTTGTAATTCATTTCTGTCAGGATTGCAGATATTGCATTGGAGTACTGAGATATGCCTTTGTTATGATGTTTACATAATTTCCTCTATTTTGTAATATAAGAGGAAATTCCTCTTATAAATAATGTTAAAAATAACTGTTTATTGTAACATAAACATTGAATAATACTCAAATATGTATTTTTCTATTCTCTAAAGTGGAGGTTTGTTACTTTTTATCATTTTTCATTGAAGCTTGAAAGAAGTGCTTCTGTTTCCCTAGAAAGTCCAGCATGCCCACTAAAAATGATGAAAAAATGACATGACAAAACTATTTGATTTTACTTTTCCTCTTCCTTCGTCTCATGAAGTTTAGGAACTATAAGAAAAAGAAGAGTGTATTTTCAGGAAACATTTTTACAGGATACCTGAATAGAGGTGAACCACTTTTTGTTATGCTACATTCATTGTCTCGGACAGATCTCACATAGCTTCAACCTCCAACCAAAGTAGGAGAATAGGTGATATGCAACAAATCCACAAAGCAACGGAAATTTGTAAGCCTTATATGTGCAACCAAACCTATGATAGCAAGCTTTAATAAAGGATGAGAAAATATATGAAAATTGTTTATTGGATCCCTCTCTTTGATTTTACTGGAGACCCAAGAAAATATTTTTGAAAGTATGTTGAGGAAGGAGAAAAAAAGGTGAAACATATCATGATTACTATTTCTCAACATGGTATTGAAATTCTTCCTTGTGTTTAATAAAGATTACTCTTTAAGTAAGAAGTATAAGTGCTATATGACCTTGGTATTTAGTGTATTTATTTATCTTAACCATTAACTTTTACTATACCTTCCTATAGTGCTATATGACCTTAGATGTCTAGCACATTTATTCCGCTTTTAACCATTACCTATTTACAAGTAATTTTAACGCCACCACCACTGGAAATTCAGAAAAAGTGCAAGAAGTCAGGTCAGGTTTGGCATCAAGCAATCTATAAGATTCTCTAATTTATTCACTCTGCCTGTCAACCACTCACACAAATTTATTAATTTATTCTGCAACATTTTTTCTTCCTCATTCGGTCATTATTCGCACATTAATTTATGATCTCTGTATTTCTTTCATTTCTTAATTTCTGTCAAATACAGTGTCCAGTAAGGGATCCGAAGATAGAATGTTGTCTTTGTAAATCTGTCTGGTCGATTGGTTGTTTGCGTCAACAAAAACGATGTCGTGGTCTGGAACAACCTCGGTATTTGTTAAGTGGAGTGTGTTTGAGAGGAAGAGGTCTAGCGTGTGGGCAGAGGTTGAAGGGCCTCCAACGCCAGTGGGGCGTCT